GGTGCTACTCGCCCTAGGAAAATAAAGACCCCCCGAGGACATGTGCCCCCCCCCCCCATCCCCGCTTCGTGGCTCCCACCTTGAGGACCACCCCTGACTCTCCTATGCCTCAACCCCACTTACCCAAGGAAACCCTCCCCGCCTGCCTGGCCCTGCTCTAGTCCTAGCTCTCTCACCTCCTGGAGCTCCCACACTGCTGCCCAAGTCACCTTCCGGACAGAGCATGATCTTTGGGGTCAAATCCTGGATCTACCATTTCCTTGGCTTCAAATCATGGATCAACTACTGACTAGCTGTGTGGTCTTGGGCAGGAGACCTGATTTCTCTGAGTCTTGGTTCCCTCCTCCGTGCGTGGAACCTTGCCCTCGGGGAGCGGTGACGCAGGCCACCTGGCTCTCACCTGTTGTTGTCTGTCTGACACCAGCCTCCCTTCTGGTGACAGCCTCTGACTGTCCTCTGGAAAACCACCCCTGCCACCCACAGTCCACAAGGCTCAAGTCGAGCTGTCCCTGCCTCTAGCAGCAGCAGGGCTTGAGCCCAGGCCTATCAGAGTCAGTGACTAGTTCAGGGAGGGGACCCAATTGCTACAATTCTTGGGAAAAAGGTACTGTCTTCCCTCTGGGCATTTTAAAGGGGTAGGATATAATCCCAGAGCTGCTGGTGACCATCTACAAAAGGCAAACCTGCTACAGACTGAAGGAAATCCAGCTGAGAACTGGGGAGAGAAATGGCTCATGCCATTATGTGAGCACCTGGGTCCAGGCCAGCCTGCAGCCAGTTTTCACTCAAGTGAGTCAAGAAATTCTTCTTTCTGCTTAAGCTGGTCGGGTGGGGTTTCTGTCACTTACAACCAAGAGTCCTGACTGACGGGTAAGCGGTCAGTGATTGGTGACTCCCTCACACTCTTACTGACCCGTATGCTCTGTAAGTGTATGGGACTTGGCCCAGGGGATCAAAATCTACAAAGAAGGACGAGGCCTCCAGAAACCTCACACTCTGGCCTACCCAGTGAAGGGGCCTGAAGGAGGGACAGGAGAAGCAGTGGAGCCCTGGATTGGAGGCCTCCAATGCTAGGCTAAGGCTTTATTCCTTTTTTTTTTTTTTTAAATATTTATTTGGTTGCGCTGGGTCTCAGTTGCAGCAGGCGGGCTCCTTAGTTGCGGCTCACCGGTTCCTTAGCTGCGGCTCGCCGGCTCCTTAGTTGTGGCATGCAAACTCCTAGTTGCAGCATGCATGTGGGATCTAGTTCTCTGACCAGGGATCGAACCCGGGCCCCCTGCATTGGGAGCGCGGAGTCTTAACCACTGGGCCACCAGGGAAGCCCCATTCCTGATGGTCAAACAGGATTCCTTGGGGACCCTTCCTCTTGCCCACCCCTTAAATGTTACTGTCCCTTCTTTTATGTTTGTCCTTTGTCCTCACTCTTCTGTTCAGAAGGGTGGGGAGAACAGATGGGCCTCTGGGAAGTCCACAGTCCCATGAAAGGATATGCCCAGTTTGTGCACACAAGTGTCTTTCTGAGGAGAGGGCCTGTGACTTTCTTCCCAATCACAAAGCAGTCTCTGATCTAATGAGCTTGAAAGGCTTCTCCACACTCCCTCCAGGTGAGCCCTCTGGCCTTGCACTATTAGGACAGTGTGTTGGGCCCTTCACTGGACTGTCTTCTTTCTTCACTTCATTTTACTCAATTTATTCTCACAACAGCCCAGTGGTTTAAGTGTTATTATATTTTACAGAGGGGGAAGTTGAGGTGCAGAGAGATTAAATGATGGTTTTTGTACAAAAGGTTGTTTAGGAATGGCCATCCTGGTTCTGCCACTTGCCCACTGTGTGACCTTGAAAAAGTTCCTTCTTTGTAGGCAGTCCCCTGGGACAGCTGATAATTGGCAAAACCTGGATTGGAACCTAGATCTGATGCTTCTGAAAACGTCTCCCATCTCCATAGTAACAATGCCCTGGTCCTATCTCTAGTGCAGGTGTGCCTCCTGAGGCCAGCTCCGATAGGATATTGGGCTCACCCCAACAACGACCGGGGTGGCTCCTTCCCAAAGCCCAGTATCACTGTGCGAGCAAGCGTGACCCTCAGGAGCCCCTCATGGAAACAGAGGGGCCACTCACCCTCAGGAGTTCCCGGAGGGGCAAGCTCGGCGCCGGACACCCACTGATGGCAGCCAAGGTGATAGAAGAAGATGCCATCTTCATAGCACTTTTCCTCCTGGTAGTGGGTGTGCACGTTGCCCCCTGCGAAAGGAGGAAAGGGGCGCAGATGGCAAGCCTGGGGGAGGTGAGGACACCCCCGCAGGGAGCCTCAGCTCAGCCTTGGGCCCCTGGAGGTAGGTGGGATCGGGGAGCCTCCTCACCATAGACCACCATGTAGTTGCCCAGGACACTGGCTGTGTGAAAGGCCCGCTCCCGTGGGCCCTGAAGCCCATCCCGGCCCTTCAGGGTGGTCCACACGCGCCGATCCACATGGAAGAGCTCGGTGGAGTTCACCCGCACAGAGAACCTGTACGGGAGCGGAAGAGGAGGAGCTTGAGGCAGGAAGGGCCTCTCTCCCTCCTCTGGGCCCATACTTGAGACTGGCTTTACTGGATTTATATCCCCTCAGAACTAGAAGCTCCTCATGGGCAGGACCCAGGTTTGATGGATCTCTGGGTTCCCTGCATAACCTAGCCAGGGCTAGACACCAAGCAGGGGTTGGTTAAATGACTGGATGAGTGGGAGTGCGTAGGGAAGCAAGTGACCAAGAGATTGAATGACAGACTAGAGAATGTGTGAGTCGGGGAGTAAATGAGTGAATAAACAAATGAGTGAATGAATGACAGACGGGGTGACTGAATGACTGCAGGGGTCTATCAGTGGGCAAAGACCGTTAAAGCATAAAGGCCCAGGGTGTTAGGCCAGGCCTGGCCCTGCAAGGCATGGGTTGTGGGGCAGGTGACTCACCGGGCAGTGGAGGGCCGGTGTCCACCGTGAACCAGCAGGGCACGTGACGGGGCATGGAACACCATGGAATGGCCAGTGGCGGCAGGGGGCCGCCCACCTGCCGGAATCACCTGCTCCCAATAGCCCCCACTGGTGCTGTCGAGGCGGAAACGGAAGAGGCCAGAGGAGAAGAGGTCGTGCTGGGTGCGGCCACCAGACACATAGAGCCAGACGCTGTCCACTAGGGCTGCTGCGTGACCTGCCAGGCCTGGCGGCCCTGAGGAACTGGAAGCAGCTGGTGCCAGAAGCTCCCAGTGGCCACCACCCAGCGGACTAAAGGCCCAAACGTCACTGGTGAGGGAGCCGTCAGCCAACTCACCACCCATCAGCACGAGGGAGCCGGCCCAAGCCACAGCCACGTGGGAGTGACGGGCAGCCTGTGAGGAAGAGACCAGGAGACGGAGATGGAGAGGGAAACAGATGGTGACACAGAGAAAGAGAAAGACAGAGAGAGATGCAGAGACAGGGCAAGATGGAGAGACAGAGATACAGAGAAAGAGACGGTGAGAGAGGGGCAGAGATAAAGACAGAGACATGCAAAGAGAGAAAAGAAGAGAGACGGACCCAGAAAGACAGACACGTGCGAGTAAAAAGAGAGGTGTGACAGACAAACACAATGAGAGAAGGCGGAGTCAGGGAGAAATGACAGAGACCAGTAGAGAGAGTAAGAGGTATAATCCAGAGAGAAGGAGACACAGAGACCAAGAGAGACCAGACGACCAAGAGTCAGAAACAAAAACCGAAAGATGGACCAAGAGAGACAGAAGACACACAGAAAGGTAAGATGCAGAAAGGAAGATAAACGAAGAAGAAAGAAAATCAAAGACAGAAAAGCAGAAGCGGGAGGTGTAGGTGGTCATGTATCACACTGCGGGAGTTAGGGGTGTGCAGGGTGATGGGGTCGCTCTGGGGCGCCCTGGCTGGGTCCGACAGAGTGGACAGGCACCTCCAGGCAGGGCAGAGGTGGGGTCCATACCGGGGCAGGACTCAGGTCCCAGCGCTCCCAGGTGTTGGCAGAGAAGTTGTACAGGACGAGGTCACCCAGGGCGCTGTTGAGGTCCTGGCCTGTGGAGAGGTGGACAGTCTCAGGCCCTGGCCACAGGCTGCCAGGCCTCTAGACCCCAGACTCATATCCCATCTGCTCACCTCCGAAAACAGCCAGCAGCCCCGGTGGGGACAGGAAGGCACCAGCCGCCCCGATGCGGGCGGAGAAGGCGGGGTCCCCGGCACTCACATTGTGCCACCAGCCAGCCCCCTGGTTCTCCCACAGGTGCAGGTCACAGGCGCGTCCCAGGAAACCAGGCTCACAGCGGCATGGTCCCAGGGGCTGGGGGGAAGGGGGCACAAAGGCAGGGACAGAGAGAGAGAGAAAGAAACAGACAGGTAGCAGAGAGAGAGCCAGAGTGAGACAGATGGAGCAAAACGGAGGACAGAGATGAACAGGAAAGGAGAGGATGGAAAAATAAAGACAGAGAGGCAAAGAAAGAGAGAGGAAGGAGACAGGCCAACAGACAGAGGAAGAGATGGACACAGAGACACAATCAGGGGGAGGCAGAGAAGAGGAGAAACGAAGACAGACCAACAGAAAAAGGGAAAGGAAAAAGAAAAAGACCCAGAAAGGAAAACGAGAACAAGACAGAAAGACAGGTTGGAGAAAAAAAACTGATGGAGTCAATGTCGGCCTGGGCTGGAAGAGCTCAGATCCGGGGAGGTCAAGGCAGGGAGGGCTCAAGGCGTGACCCAGTCCCAAAGCTGGATATGCATGGTTTAGGCCCAAGGTCAGTGGTCAAAAGTCAGAAGTCATGGCTGGGGGCCCAAGGCCAGACAGAGCGGTTGGGTGGGAGGGTGGAGTCAGGCCTGGCACGAGGAAGGCAGGCAGGTTCACAGGTGAGACTGGGAGTGAGCTCAGGCAGAGGAGGGGCCCCCAGTGAAGGTGGAGTGGAAGTGGAGTAACAGGTTGGGGGAGTGGGATCTGGAAGGAGAGGGAGAACTGTAGGAGGGAGCAGGGTCCCTGGCGGGGTCAGCGTCATGGGAGAGGATGGGATGGCAGGGGTTGCTTCAGGCAGGGGCAGAGTCAGGTCTAGGACATGGGAGTGGTGGCTGTGATCACAGGGCAGGGGCCCAGGGGGACACAGCTGGGGGCAGGCTCACCGAGGCGCAGGTGCCATGGCTGCCACAGTAGGCTGGGCACTCCTGCAGGCTGCAGTCAGGGCCCCCCCAGCCCGGCTCACAGACACACACCCCTGAGGGCTGGCACTGCCCATGGCTGTGGCAGCCCCCCGGGCACAGGGAGAAGCGGAATGAGGCGTTGAAGCCCAGCAGGTTGTAGTTGGCATCGCTGAAGAGGTGCAGCAGCATCTGCAGGCACAAGGTGGGTGGGGCTCTGGGGCTGGACTGGGAGGGGGTCGACTCCTGCCCCCACCCCACCCTGGGGTCCCCATCTCCTTTCTTTGTCTCTCTCCACCTCTCTTTGTCCCTGTATCCTTCTGACTGATGTCAAGTCCCCCCGCCTTTTGTTTCCCTCTGTGCATCTACCCCCCCGTCCTGCACACTCCACTCAGATCCTCCAGCCACAGCCCCGCAGCCGGGCCCCACCAACCTTGCCTGAGGAAGCCTCAATGGGCGGAGGCCGGGTGCTCCCACTCAGACTGGCAAGCAGGGGCCCCCGGGGGGAGTCACCATCATACACGAACAGGTAGTCATACGTGCATTCTGTGTCCAGGAAAAGGAAGTCCAGCAGGATCCGGTACCGGGAGCTCGGGGCTGAGCAGTGAGAACAGGTGGGCCAGGCTCAGATGCGGACCCTCTCCCCATGCCTCCACGCAGCCCCCCCACAAACACCAAGCCCTGCTCCTCGTAACGCTGGGATGGGGGCCCAAAGATGAGTCAGACCTGGGCCTTGCCTTCAAGGGGCTCCCAGGCTCACAGCCCAGGGAGGTCAGAGCTGCGACAGCAAGAGGGACAGAAGCTCAAAGAAGAAATTACAGTATCATCCCTGGAAAGGACCCCTGAGATCAGGCTGAACACCGCCTACTATTCAGATGGGGAAACTGAAGTGCAGAGAGAGGAACCCCATCCCAGTGGCCACACAGAACTTCCCATTTATTCTTGAGCCTCAGACACGTCCAAGCCTGAGGGTCAGTCCAGGCGTGAGCAGAGAGGCATACTCCCAGACGGAGAAGGGCCTCTGTGAGGGTCCTCTGTTCCAGGCTCAACAGCACTCTCAGGGAAGAGGTCCCTTTCTTCCCCCTGGCCAAAGACTGAAACTTGGAGCATCACAGCTCCTCTCTGCCCCCACCCAGGGTCTCTTCTCTCTGTTTATTGTATTGAATAGCAGCTAAGGGCACAGACTCTGAAGCCAGACTGCCTGGGGTCCAATCTTGGCTCTGCCACTTACTAGCCACTAGCTGTGTGACCTTGGGCAAGTCAGCTAACCTCTCTGGATCTGTTTCTTCATCTGTAAAATAGGGACATAATCACTCTGGTCGATTCAATCTTCTTGGCCACTAATCCCATCAAGAGATGATGGCTGACTCCCGGCCCCTTGTATCTGGAAGAGCCTCAGAGACTAACTTGGCCGATATAAACCAGAAGTGATGCTCTGGGACTTCCGAGGCTAGGTCAGAGGAAGCCTGCAATTTTTACCTGGGCCTCGTAGAATACTCCTTCTCAGAACCCAGCTGTCATGCTATGAAAAGCCAAAGTCACACGGAGGGGCCATGTGTAGGCGTCCCAGCTGTCATCCCCAGCTGAGCTTCCAGCTGACAGCCGGCATCAACCGCCAGCCCAGTGAGGGAGCCTTCTTGGATGCCCGGCCCAGGTGAGTGTTCAGATGACTGCAGTCCCCACTGGTCTGACTGCGACCACATGGGAGGCCATAATGGATAATGCACCTAAAGTGCTTACGATAGGGCCTAGCGCTTCATAACGCTACTACTCCTAGCACTGTCGCTCTTCTTACTCTCTGCCAGGTCCTGGTTGCAGAAGGTTCTCTCATCCCACATCTCCCACTAGGGGCTCAGGGAAGGCTCGTGGGCTAGGGAGACTAGGAGACCTGGGTTCCAGCTCTGCTCCTGACCCTAGGCCAGCCCCTTTACCCATGCTCCTTAGTACACCCATCTGCATACTGGAGATGCTCGTCCACTATTCACGAGCTGTGTGATCTTGCGCCAGTTCCATGGGCTCTCTGGGCCTCAGTTTCCTTGATGTAAAATGGGGATAATTCTCCTCAGCCACCAAGGCTGGTATGAAGATCCCAGATGGTGACTCTAACATGCCAGCCCAGGCCTTGTCCTCCCTCACCAGGACCACTGATCCAGCCTCCTTCCTGGCCTGTGCTGACATGGGTCCCTGAGGGATCTCCCCAGCTCGACATCTGGCCCTTACCCTCCCCTGCTCAAAAGCCCTCCATGGCTCCCTACCATCTCCAGGAGAAAGTCCAGCTCCCTAACCTGGTGTTTGGAGTCTCAACTTGTCTCACATCACCCCACGGCTAACAGCTCTATCAGGAGCTGGGCCTGTGCAGAAGTTCCTCTCTCTGTCTAAAGCACATTCTCCCTTCCTGCCAGCAAGCTTCCCCACCTTCTCCAAGAAGCCTTCCCTGATGCCCCCTGGCTGGGTTAGGTGCCCCTCTAGGTTCTCACTTTCCAATACGACCTTCATTCCTCTGGGCCAGGACCACCTGTGTCCAGGTGTGTCTCCCCTGCAGCCTAGGAGGCCCACAGGACAGGGCCTGGGCCTACTCATCTTGGGGATCCCTCCCCGACACTGCCCAGCACGGGGCCTGGTATTGAGCAAGGGCTCAGGAAATACTGGATGAAGGAAGGAAGAGATGCACAAGACAGAATACTGAAGTTGACAGCTCTCCCTCAGGCTCTGGCCAGAGCCCCCAAGAACATCACACATAGACCCCGAGCTGTGGTCTGGAGAACACAGAAGAACAGTTCAGCCAGGCAACCAGACCTCCCAGAATCTTACCAGCCTCAACCAAACTACAAAGCTCTGTTCCTAGAATCCCAACAAGCACATCTTTGCCAAGTGCCCACCAGGGGCCGGCTCACCATCTGCCTTCCCCAAGTTCCACCTTAAGTTCAAGTCCTCCTGTTTCTGCCCAACATGGGCCTAACCCCCAAGCCATCCTGGACAGAGATCTGATCCTAAATGCCCCTGCTTTTCAAAGGCATATGCCTCTTATTCACGAGGATGTTATGAGGACTGGGCACAATGAAGTGTGAACACGGTACAAAAGTAAGTGGGTCAGTTGCTCATTTTTTAATAGATCGGGGAGCATGTTGGTTCTTAGAGGTGATGGACATTGGGAAGGATGGGAGCTCAAGGCGGGGCCAGAAGTCTCCTGGACTCCTTCTTACCCCAACATCCAGCCAGTCGGTCCCCCAAGTCTCACTGGTGAAACTTCACAAATCTCTCAGTGTTCTCCATGCCTCTCCACCCCCTTAGTTCCTGCCCCAGTTCAGAACTCATCCTCTCCCACAAGACTAGCACACCAAGTCTCCAGTCCACCCCCCACCCAGCCTGAGAGCGACGCCCCACTCCCGCTCAAAATCCCCCTTTGGCTCCCCATCAATCCCAAGAGAAAAGTCAAGCTGCTCAGCATGACATTCAAGGCCCTTCTTCCCCTCCTTCTGGTGCACTCCGCTCCTCCCAGCCAACAGTTTAGCCAGACCAGACAAGCCTAGACATGGCTCGGAGACCCACCAGCCCCTCTTTTGTCTTCCTAGAGGCTGTTCCCTTTTCTCACCCGGTAAACTCCTATGTATGTTTCAGAACACTGCTCTGGTGGCTCCTCCTCTGTGACCCCCAGCAGAGTCTTCTCACTCCCCTACGCCTGACTACCCAACCCTGCACCTCCTTCGGTCTCAGCCCTGAGCACACCGGGGGCTGAATGTCTGTGTCCATCCCCAACCAGGCTGGAGCTCTTGAAGGCCGGAGGATGATTTATACCTCTAACACATACACACACTTCCCATCCTCTTCTCACCCCCTAGACAGGAATGGCCCCCAAGATGGGGACAAACACACTCATCCCCAAAAACCATGCTTCATCCATACCCCACACAACAGCCATAGAGATCTTCTAAAACGTAAATTAAATCATGTCTTTCCCCTGCTCAAAACCTTCCATAGATGCGCAGTGTCCCCAGACAAAGACCAATCTCCAAAGGCTGCAAAAGGAGGCCCTGCACGACCCAGACTCTGTCACACCTCTGGTCTTTGCCCAGGACCTCCTCTGGGGGACTCCCACCTCTCCCTGGAGGCCAGCTCCTCATCCACTGCCAAGGGAGCCTTCCTGGACTTCTCCAGCCACTGCCTTGGATTTCTCTTCCACCTCCCTATTGCCCTCAGGACACAGCTCAAAAATCACAAGGTCAGGGCTTCCCTGGTGGCTCAGTGGGAGAGTCCACACCTGCCGATGCAGGGAACACGGGTTTGTGCCCCGGTCCGGGAAGATCCCACATGCCGCGGAGCGGCTGGGCCCGTGAGCCATGGCCGCTGAGCCTGCGCGTCCGGAGCCTGTGC